ACAGAGAGACAGAAAGGGAGAAATCACCCCCCAGGGGGGATGGCCACATCACAATCACATCTCCTCCATTATCTTGGGATCTTGGGCAGGCACGCACACGTGCCCAGCATGAGTTTAAGCCACAGGGTCTGGGACTTAACTGTCGTTGAGTACATGGGAGTCCAGAGACATAGCCATTATGCCAACTGCTGGTCCCCATGTCGGGTGTGTTTTTAAGCAGCTGTATCTGAGATTTGCAAAGTCCTCCAGTGGAAAATGAGGACAAAGACAAATCCAGAATGACCATAGTTTGCTTCTTCCCCTTCATCAGTAGCCCTCCTTCATCATTTACTTATGGGTAATCTGGGCTGAAGGCTTACTGAAATAGTCATAGGTATTGTGCTGCTATTCCAAGGATCTTATTTTGTTTATTTTCTTTTAAAACTTTTTAAATTTCTTTTTTAATTTTACTTTTATTTTTTATATATTTAAAAATTTACATTCAATCACTGTGCGTCACACAAGTACACACACTCAGCATGTTTTGTAAGTAATCTGCCAGGTCCAGGATTTGAACCATAGAGTTGACCATGCTTCCACATGCTCCTTCTTAACTGCTATGCTACTGGCTGCCCAAGAATATGTTTTGACACGCACAGATTCTTCAACCTGTTGTATGTACATTCATGTATGCCTATTATCAGTTGTGTGCAGATAACTTTTTCGAAGGGAGGATCAGGATCATGTACATGTAGTTAGGAAAAAAAAAGGATTCTAAACTAAAATCTCTTTTAATATGCTTTGGAAAAAATGTCCTTCATGAAAGTTTAATATTACTAATAAATTTTTATATTACCAGAGGATATGTGTGTTTGCCACAAGGAGATAGAGTGGGAAAAATAAAGAGGAAAAAATCAGAGTGACAGAGAGAGAGGAGAGACAGAAAGCAACCTCCAGTAGGGAGTGGTCACACATAATCGTCTCCATTTCTCCAACTTGTTGGGAATTTGGGTGCACATGCACTTGCCAGCACATTTTTCAGGCTGACAGGCTGAGTCTCAAACCATGGTTGTTTATGCTTAATCTAGATCCCTTAACCACTAGACTGTGGAGATGACACTAAAAATGTTTTTTAAAAAATATTTATTTGGAACCAGCAATTGGTGTAATGGCTATGTTGCACTCCCATGTAGCCGACTGCTATTTGAGTCCCAGACACAGTGGCTTAAATTCACGCTGGGTACATGTACGTGTCTGCCCAAGATCCCAGGAGGAGAATGGAGAAGTAGGGATTGTGGCGTGGCCATCCCCCCCACTGGGGGGGGGGTGATTTCTCGCTTTCTGTCTCTCTCTGTCTCTGTCTTTCTAGCGAGTATACGTGCCCTATAGCAAAAACCTCTTCAAAAAAATAATTGTTTAATTTTATTTATTATTATTACTTTTTAATTTGACCTGAGACAGAGATAGAAACACACACACACACACACAAACACACGCACACACACACACACACACACACACAGAGAGAGAGAGAGAGAGAGAGAGAGAGAGAGAGAAAGTGAGAAAGCAAGCTGCCAAGTCTGGGACTTGAATTGTGGTCGGCTGTGTGGAAATCCAGCAACTCAGCCACTGTGCAACCTGCTGGACCACTAAATGTTTTTTTTTAAGTCTGACTTTAATGTTTCCTATTAATTACTGCTTTTGACCTTATTCCTTTCATCTATCCCTGTAAACTCCTTTGCTAAAGAAATCATTTGTATTTCCACTTCGGTTGTAGATTTCCGTCTGTCTCGAACACTCAAGCCTGAAACTACTCACTGTTTTATTTATTGGCCTTTCCAATCTCCAAGATGATTTTGGAGTCAAAGTAGATGAGATTTTTCTCTCTAATTCAAAATATTTAACCAAAATTTCCAAATATCCTCTCTCCTCCTCTTGCTGGTGACTAAAAACATGGGTCACTACATGCATTCAGGATCCTTTACTGATGAAAATGAAAGCCCAGCCCTCATGTTTGCATTTCTCTCTAGAGTTACCAGATCTGGGACTCAAACTGCAGTCAGCAATATGAGAGTCCAGCACCTTAACCACTATACCACCTGCTAGCCACATTATGCAGTTTTCATAAGTTGATAATTTTTTCTTTGCCAATTTCATCCTCTTCCATTTCATTCTGTGATCATTCTTTAACATAAATTTTTCATTTAATTTTTGTTCAAGACACTTCTGTGTCTACCATGAACACTATTAAGGATTAAGGCCAACTCCGTTTTCTTTTTTAGATTTTTCTATAGGGTGCATGTGTTTGCCAGAGACAGGAGAGACTTTTCCTGAGAGGGAAAGTAAGAAATCCCCCCCTCCCCGGGAGGATAGCCATGACACAATCCCTTTTCTTTCATTCTCCTCTTGGGATTTTGGGCACACACATGGGCCAAGAGTGATTTTAAGTCACCAGGTTCAGGACTCAAATTGGTCAACCATGTGGGAATCCGATGTCTTAACCACCATATCACCTGCTGGCCCAAGACCAATCTTTTTAAGGAACACAAAGTCTTAAATTGTATGATACCTGTTTGTTTCCCCAGCCTCTACTCTGGATGTAGGCTTTATCAGGCTCAGTCTTTTTTTAAAAATATAAATATAATTTCATGCCTCTATACTGTTACTCACAGCATCCCATCACTTGTCTTTTTCTTCCACCATCTACATGGTTTATTCGCATCCTTTAAAATAACGCATACTTAACCTTTAGGAGACATGACCCAGGAACTCAATCTTTCCTTTTCTCTTTATTCCTCCTACTTATTTTCCCATAGTATTTGGATAGCATTTCTTGACATTAATTGTTTTGCTAATTACATATATACATTAGAATGAGGCTATTTTGTTTAGCTTCCTATCACTAGGAGGCATGAAGCAGTTTGACTTCAGGGAATGTTCATACATGAATACCTTAAGTAATAAGAAGATTTAATTTAAACTTTGTTCCTTTATAAAAAGAAAGGGGCCAGCAGGTGATGTAGAAGCTTTGAATTTCCACTTGTCTAACCATGGTTCAAGTACTGGAAACAGTGCTTGAAAATCATACTGGGTGGTTGTGTGTGTGTGCCTATAATCCTGAGAGGAGAATGGAAAAGAAATTGCAGCATGACCATCCTCCTTGGGGGGGGTGGTGGTTGAGATTTCTCACTTTCTCACTCTCTGTCTCTCTGTCTCTCTCTTGTGAGTGCACACACCCTATGGCAACAAAACAAAACAAAACAAAACACCTCTATCTTCCATCCTGAAATTTCAGCACTGATTCTGTGTCAGTGAAGTTTGTAATTTCTTTTTTTCTTTTAATGTTCTTATTTTTAAAAATTCAGTTCTGTACAGCATACAGAATGAATCTTCTCAGCATGAATACACTGCATATCAGTCCTATTAAGGATATTTTCATACACATTATCATCAGCAGATAATTTTCCATTTTTGTGTCTGCTAAATGTTTTGCTTTGCTCTTCCCTGATACCCTTCTTTTTGTCCCCTATTGCCCACCCTCCTCCCACACTGTCTCTAGTATCCCCAGTTATTCTTCATGATTTCTACCACAGAGTGCAAATATTCGGTATTTGTTAAGTGGGGAAATACAATGCCTCTCTTTCATAGTCTAGCTTGCTTCAGTTAGCATTAAATATTTGTCCACTATCTATCAAATGCCAGGGCCTCATGGTTTTTGTGGTTGAGTAGTATCCCATAGTGTGTAACTTCTGTGTCATTCTATGTTATGGGACAATCTAGGAATGAGTCACTAATTGCCTTTATTTCTTTGCTGCCTTTGCAAAACTATGAAAGGACAATACTACAGTTCCTACAGTTCTACACAGACACCTGATTTGAGTTAGAGTTTTCATCTGCTAATAGGACCTTTTAATTGCTTGACTAAACATGTGATTGAAGGGTTAAATGAATCAGTTTTATTCAGATTAAAACATAAATGCTCAAGTCTGGGAAATTTTATTTTTTTTAGAGTTTATGTATTTTTTGAGTTAGAGAGACAGATAGAGGAAGAGAAACTTCATCCCCAATAAGTACGTGGTACCTCAGTCCTCCCCCATCTTCAGCCAGCCCTGGATCATGGGCATGGGCATGTGCATGCCTGACACACTCAGGAAGTTTTCCAGATGCAAATCCAAACTTTCTTATGTGGGCCAGACTCAAAGACTGTCATGTTTTACTAATAGGCCATTGTTTCACCCCAAATTTTAGGAATTTTATCTATGGCATTTTTAATACTTAAATAAAAATCTTGACTTAGAAATAGTGTTTATTTTAAAATTAGTATTCATTGTTTTATGTACTTCTTACAAATTTAAGAAACTTAAAAATAATATAATAGGGTACTTTTCTCTAGTATGTTTTATTTAATATTACTGACTGCTTTAAATTTTGGAACACAGAACAATATAAATAAGAATATTAACATGCTATTCTATTAACCCAAAATCAATATAGATATTGAGCACATAAATATGTCCTTTTTACTTTATCTGGTTTCTACTATCTTTCTAAGCAGAACAAGATGAGGCTTTAGCTTTTTATGGAAATTCAAATCTCTTTTGAGATAAATTAGACATCATATCTAACAAGTAAAAGCCTTTGATCCTTAGAATTGTTAGAAAATTGCTACTTTTTAGGGTAAGTTATGTTCCTAAGTTTGTCCACTCTGTTTAGGTCATTCTATTCAGCTGCATAAGCAATTCTTTTGATGACTAGTTTTCTACAACACTAGC